GGGGGTGCCCCGACACCCCCGCCTTTTGGCACTGCGCCACCCCTGGGTGTCGGTGCTGATATGCTGGGGACGGATCCTGCAAAGCTCACCTGGCGCTGCAGCTTTCCAGCACCCTCCATCCCCCGGCACCCCCCACCCTGCTCCCCCCGGGGCTTTCCCCGTGATTTGGCTCCCGGCTTTTCCCTGGCCCCCTCCCAAGGAAGCGCAAGCAGGAACGGCCATGACCTCAGAAAGGACAAAAAAAGGAAAAAAACAAGAAAAGAAACAAAAAAAAAAAAAAAAGAGAGAGAAGGGGTCAGAGGGACCCCCTCCCTGCTCACGTGGCGGCAGCACGCTGACTAATTTGGCAAAAGCCAGCCAGAAAAGTCACCCGAAAATGGAAAGCGCCGATAAGGCGCCTTTCACACCAAAAAAATGGTGGAGACGAGCGGGTTACAAAAAAGAAACGTATTTACAAGAAAAGCCTGGGGAGGGAAAGGCTATGCCCGGGGAGGGGGGAAGGTGCCCCCGGGCCCAGGGGTGAGGGGCACGGAGCCAGCCGTGCCTCAGTTTCCCCACCCCAACCTGGGGAAGTTGGGCTTAAAAACAAGGTGGTTTTGGGAAATGTTAATACATATATTTGGAGTTTTATTTCCCGGTGGGAGGTGGATATCGTGGGCAGGGGAACGAGGAGAGGGGGGACCCGCCGCAGGAGGGACAGCATGGGCGGCTGAGCTCAGCTCTCCCGGCCCTGGCAGGGCTCAGCTTTGCAAAAATAAAGAGAATTAAGGGGGGGAAGCACAGGGAGGGTTATTGAGGAACCCCTGGGATGTGCAATGGAGAGATGGGGTGGCAGCCTCCTGGCTGCAGCCCCCAGAGATGCCAGCGTGGACGCAGCCGGCCCCGCTGAGCCCCGCACGCTGATTTACGCCAGGAAGACAAGAAACAGCAAAAGCATCCAACACCTCGGGAAAAAGGAGGGGGGAACCCCCCCCCAGCACCGCGGCACCTTCCTGGCCCCGCGCCAGGCGAGTGCCCGCGCGTCACCTTTTATCCATCCACAGCTTGGCACGGGCCGCCAGCCGCGGCGCATCGTTGCCCGGCGCAGCCCGACGTGCCCGGAGGAGCCGTGATGCCAGCCCGGCGCATCCTGCCCAGCGTCACGGCACGGGGGGGGGACAGGGGTGCGAAGTCCTGCTGCCGCGGCCTCGCAAGCACCAGCCGCAGTGGGGACACGTGTGCGAGGCTGAAGCGGCAAGGAGAGTGGAGTAACGAGGCCGCTGCCTAATTAAATGGGTTACGGACGGCTGCTTTTAGGGAAGCACCGACGCAGAGCTGCCTTGTGCATCCCGATGCCAGGCTCGGCCCCAGGGAGGGTTAAGGGGTCCAGCTGCAGGCAGCAGCCCCTGCCCTGGCACAGCCGTGTCGCCTTCCCCGGCTCTCCTCGGCCCTCCCCGGACTTGGGGGTGTCTTGGCCCAAATCCCCAAATCTGGGTGCTCAGTCCCTGTCCCAGCGCCACGCAGCACCCCGGGGGTGCCCCAATGGAGCCGCCAGAGCTCACGGCTGCAGCAAGGGGGAGGCCAGGAAGGGGCGCGAGGGCTGGAGGAGGGACTGCTGGCACCAGCACGGGCACCGCGACGGCTCCACATCACCTACACCATCGCAAAAAGAAATGCTGCCGGCAGGGTTTGGTGCAGAGCCAGGGTGAGCTGGAGAAGGGGCAGCCAGCGGTCCCGAGGAGCCTGGCCATACTCCGGGTGCTGCCCGGTGCAGCCAGGCTGGCATCCCACAGCCTAGCATGGCTGCGTGGCACGGTTTGGTGCTGTACGGTGCTGTATGGTGACTGTATGGTGCCGCACGGCAGCCACAAGCCATCAGTGCCCTCTGGAGGCAGCGGCACACTCGCCGAGCCGGCACCGTGCAGCCTGTACAGTGCCAGATGCCGGACTGCGGCCACCCCACACCTGGAGCCCAGTTCAAGTCCAAACTCCTGGGGCGCAGCAGGTGCTTTTGGAGTGCGGGACCCCACCTGCCTGCGGCACTTCAATGGGGGGAAGCCCCCGGCGACCCTGCCCAAAGGGAGGTCCCCTCCCGTCCCCCCAGGACACCCTGAACATGGAGCCCAGCAGTGCCCTGGCAGAGCGCCCCATGTGCCCCAACCCTCCCTGCCAGGATGGGGCTCCCCCGCCGCAGCCCAGCCCTCACCCCAGTCCACCCCCGGCACTTACTGGTCGTCGCCCACCTTCTTCACCCAGGCCATGTCCCGCTCCGACTGGTCCTGGGGAGAGCAGACATCCCGTCAGCACCCGGACCCCCACCCGGCGGGGATGGGGGGGGTCCCGCAGGGCCGGACCCTGCCCCGTACCTGCTCCCGGGTGTCCTGCAGGTGCTTCAGCTCCGCCTGCAGCCGCTCGCACTCGGTTGTTGGCGGGCTGGTGTGCCCTCCCGCGCGGCCTCCAGCTCGCCCTCCAGCCGTGCCGTCGCCTCCAGCCCCCGGCTCTGCCAGCCCCCGGCACGCTCCAGCACTGTGGGCAGGGCACGGCTCAGCCTCGGGGCTGCCCCGCCGGGGGGTCCCGGGGGGTCCCATGGGGCCGGGAGGGGGGCAGCTCACCGTGGGTCAGGCTGGGGTTGGGGTGCAGGGCGAGGAAAGGCACCTCCTGGCCCGGCAGCGGGGTGCCCAGCCCGGGGAAGGTGCCGCCATCGCGCTGCCGCAGCTGCTGCTCCAGGCTCCGGATGCGGCTCAGGTGCGTCTCCACCAGCGCCCGCTGCCCAGAGACAGGGTTGAGCCCCGCTGGCACTGCACCCCCCAGACCCAGCGCTCGGGGTCCCCGTGGAGCTGGCGGCCATCGTGGCAGGGTGACGGGGCGATCTGTCCCCAGCACGTGGCCAGCCCAGAAGAGGGTGGCACGGCAGGGTGCTGGCAGAGCACCACGCTGGGTGGGATGGGGGAAGCCGGGGATGCCCAGCTGACCCTGAGCACGTGGTGCCAGGACAGGGACACGCACCACGCTGGAGCCAGGAGCATCCCTTGGCAGGGCGGGAGTGGGAAGAGATGGGATAAAGCCGAGCCACGTACATCACTACAACCCCCAAGGTGGCCATAATGGGGGCGAGCAGCCACGGGTCCCCCAGCCCTGCATCCCCACCGAGTCCCAGCGGTGGCACCCGTGGCAGAGAAGCCATCTGCCCAGCTGCTGCCATGGAGAGGGGACGGGGACCCCGATGTCCCCACGCACCCGGTCCCTGCCAGCAGCACCCACCATCTCTCCAAGCTCGGTCTCCAGGTCAGCCTTCTCCACGCACAGCTTCTCGTAGGCCTGGATCATCTCCTCCAGCTGCTCCTCCCGCTCTTTGCTCTTCTGCAGCTGCCGGGGAGACAGGCAGGGGTGGGTGGG